AGGTGCTGGAGAGCATGACATTCAGTTCCCTTTGTCCTGGGGTAGCCTCCCCAGTGAGCTGCAAAGTGCAGGACACTAGGTGTGCTAGAGTGTTGGTGCCCCTGTCATACTGCTGGGTCCAGCTGGCTTCGTGCCACTGCAGTCCTCTGGGTGGATGTAGGACGATGTCAGTGGGGCTCTAGGGACGTGAAGACACAGGAGCTGTTGGACCCTAGGACAGGATGCAGTCTGATGGGGTCTGGGCTCTCAAAATGGTGCTGTGCTGCAGCTGTTTGGTCTTAGGGGTGTATGAACTCACCCACCATAAGCTCCCTCTCTGAAGTAATGCCATTGCATGGATTCCAGGCAGCTCCATATACTGGACTCAAGGCCTGCAATGAGTCTTTATTGAAACACACTATGTGCCTAGTCTCAAGGTAGGCACCGTAGAAAGGAAAAAAGCAGAGGCAGGAATGGTAGGAAAGGGCCCACACTGTGGATTTCAGTCCTACACCCTGCTCATCCCTCCCTGCACAAGCTCTCACTGAGGCATAAGCTCTTGCCTAACTGCATTCACTGTAGTATAGTCCCCGGAGTGACACCAGTCACATGGACAGCCCTTGTTTTCAGCAAGAACAAGTTATTAAGATTGAGCTAGCAAATCTTCAGGGAAGACAACCTGGTCCTAACTTCTGTCATAACATTTTTCTTTGGTGATGAAGCATCGCTGGGTTTGCTGAAAGCTCATTCAGTGTTGCTAACACTCAAGCACTCAGGCATTTCTCAGGTACAAGCAGAGGATTAGGGTGGGAAGTAGGCAGGCAGTTCTTGGCCAATTAGCTCAGAGGCACAGCTGTGCTGTTGAAGTCTATGCTCCCTACACTGTATCTTACAAGTAGAGTTGTATTAGAATACTATGCATAAAATTGTAGATTCTGGAGTCAGACTGCCCTGAGTTCATTTCTAGGCTCTGCCATTTGCTGGCTATGTGACCTGGCGAGCCTCAATTTTTAAGCTATTAGTAAAGTGATACTTTGCTTCCTGCTTAACTTGGATATAGTCCAATTTATCTTATTTTCTTTTGCAGATTGTGTTTTTGGTTTTGTATCTAAGAAATATGGCCCAAGGTGTCTTAGTCCAATTTGGGTTGCTATAACAGTATACATGAGATTGGGTAATTTATAAAGAAGAGAAATTTACTTCTTATAGTTCTAGAGACTGGTCAGTCCAAGATCAAGGCAACCACAGGTTTGGCGTCTGGTGAAGGCCTGGTTTCCACTTCCAAGATGGTGCCTTGAACACTGTATTCTCCAGAGAAAAGAACATTGTTGCTCACATGGAAGAAGAGTGGAAAAGCAAAGGGAGAGAACCTACCCCCAAAGGCCCTTTTCAAGAGGCATTAAACCCATCTATGAGGGCGGAGCCCTTGTGGCCTAATCACCTCTCAAAGGCCCACCAATACCATTACATTGTCAATAAATTTCAATCTGAGATTTGAAGGGAATATATATTAAAACCGTAACACAAGGTCACAAACAATTTATCCTATATTTCATGCTAGATATTGTAGAGTCTAAGGTTTATATTTAGGTCTGTGATCTATTTTTAGTTTTGAATATGCTACAAGGTAAGGAGGGTAGTGAGAGGTTCCTCCTCTCTCTTTTTGTCTTTTTCCTCCCTTTCATCTTTTTCTTTCTTTTTTTTTTGAGTATATGAACATGTAATTGTTTCAGTACCATTTATTGAAACGGACATTCTTTCTTCATTGAATTACCCCTGCACCTTTGTTGAAAGCCAATCAACAGTATATTTATGGATCTATTTTGGGACCCCCTATTCCGTTCTACTGATCTACACATCTGTTCTTTGGTCAAGAAGACTATCAACTTTGTCTTTCTTTATAAAAAATGTATTGGTAATCCTAGGTCATTGGTACTTTCATATACATTTTATAATGGACTTATTAATTGTTACAAAGAGAGCCTACTAAAATTTCACATAGAATCTATAGACAAATTTGGGGAGAACTGACATCTTGACAACATGGAGTCTTGTAATCTGTGAACACAGTATATTTCTCCATACATTTATGTCTTCAACTTATTTCAGCAATAGTTTGTCATTTTCAGTGTATAGGTCTTGCACATCTTTTGTTAAATTTATTCCTAAGTATTTTTGTCATTTTTGTAAATTAATGGTTTTCAATTTCATTTTCTAAGTTTTTGCTGCAAACTAATAAAATATAAAATCAAATTTTATATATTCACCGTGTAACATGTGATCTTGCTAAATTCATTCATTAGTTCTAATTGTAGTTTTGTAGATTCTTTAGAATTGTTTGCACAAAAAAATTATCGCCTGCAAATAGACACAATTTTACTTCTGTCTTTCTGATCTTTAAAAGCTTTATTTCTTTTTCTTGCCTTAGTGTAATGGCTGGGACTGATAGTACAATGTTGCATAGAAGTTGTAAGAGTGGGCATCCTTGCCTTATTTCCAGACTTGCTAGGAAACCGTTCCATATTTCATCATTAAAGATGCCCTTTATCAGGTTGAAGAAGTTCTTTTCTGTGCTAGATTGCTGAGAGTTTTTATTGTGAACGTATATTAAATGTTGTCAAATACTTTTTCTGCATCTATTGAAATAATTGTATGGTTTTTCTACTTTTTTCTCTTAATGGGGTATATTATATTAATTTTTTGAATATTAAACCAACCTTGTATTCCCAGGATAAGTCTCCCTTGCTCATGATGTTTTATTCCTTTTAATATATTGTTGGATTTAATCTGCTGATATTTTGTTATAAATTTTAGCATCTATGTTCATGAGGGATGTTGGCCTGTAGAGTTCCCTTTTGCAATGTCTTTGTCATGCTTTGGTATTAGAGTTTTGCTGGTACCATAAACCAAATTGGGAGGTGTACCCTGTCCTCCTCTAGTTTTTAAAAGTTTGTGAAAGTTTGATATTATCTCTTCTTTAAATGTTTGATAAAATTTATCAGTGAATTACCCGGGCCTATAATTCAGATTCTCTATTTCATCTTGTGTAAATTTTGATGATTTATATTTATATAAATTTGTCCATTTCAACTATTTTGCAGAAATTATTAGTATAAAGTTCCTTAAACTATTCTTATATTCTCTTTTTAACATTTTAATGTCTGTGATTTCTGTGGTGATAAGTCCTCTTTCATTCCTGATATTAGTAATTTTTGTTCTCCATTTTTCTTACAAAGTCTGACAAAACTTATCAGGTTTTATATTCTTTACAAAGAACTAACTTTAGGGTTTACTCATTTTTTTAATTGCTTATCTGTTTCTTATTACATTGACTTCTGCTCTTTATTATTTTCTTTGTTTTACTTACTTTGGTTTACTTTGGATTTGAGGTGGAATTTTAAATCACTGAATTTAAACCTTTCTTCTTTTCTAATGTAAGAATTCAAAGCCATAAAACTCCCTCTAATCACTGTTTTAGTTTATGTTGTAGTTTCCCTATCATTAAGTTTTAAATATTTTATCATTTCTCTATGATTTCTTCTTTCACCTATGGATTATTTAGAAGTGCAATATATTTATTTGGATTTGTCCTAGATAACTTGTTTTAATTGTCCTAGATAACTTATTTTAATTGATTCCTAATTTAATTACATTGTGATCAGAGGATCTATCCTACTATTATTTCAATCCTATAATTTATTTTAGGATTTGTCTTATAGCCTGGGATATGGTCCTTGTTGGTGAGTATGTACAGCTGGAAAAAATGTGTATTCTCCAGTTGCTGGGTATAGTGTTCTATAGACATCAATTAGGCTGGGATGTTGATATGGCTGCTCAGATTCCCTATTACTTTACTGAATTTTTTGTCCTGCTTTCTACCAATTGCAGAGAGAGTATTCAAATACCCCACAATAATTGTAAAATGTTCTATTTCTTCTTTTATTCTGTCAAGATTCGCTTTATGTATCTTGAGGATCTATTGTTAGGCACATATGCATTTATGATTATGTCTTCCTTATTAATTGACTCTGTTTTTAAAGTTCATCTCCTCTAGTCAGCACAGAGTTGGATCTTGCTTTTTAAAGAACAGTCTATTCTGGTAATCTCTGCCCTTTAATTGGGATATTTTGTCCACTACCATTTAATGTAATTATTAATATAATTGTTAATAGACTGCATTTCTTTTTTGCTGTCCACTTTGTTTTTAGTTCCTCTGTTCCCCCTTTCCTACCTTTTTAAATTGTTTGAATACATTTTATAATTTTGTTTTAACTTATTTGTTAGATTTTTAGATCTATCACATTGGATTCGTTTTTAAATGGCTGATCTGATTATCACACAAACATCCTTTTGTTTTCACAGTATATTTAGTTAATATTGCATTTCTTTATGTAAAATGTAGAAACCTTGAAACAGTGTAAGTCCATATACCACTCCCTCACCACCACTGATAGTCCATAGTCATTTGAGTCATGGCCCCATAAGTGATGGGTCATTTTTCTCTGGGTACTTGCAAGATTTTCTCTTTATCTTTGGTTTTCAGGAAGTTAATTATGATGTGCCTAGATAGGATTTTATTCAAAATTATCCTGTTTGGAATTCACTGTGCTTTTGGATCTATAATTTATGTCTTTCAACAAATTTGGAAGTTTTTCAGCCAGTATGTTCTCAGATATATTTTCTGCCCCATTATCTTTGTTATCTACATCTGGGACTGTAACTAACTGCATATGGAACATTTGGATATTGTCCCACATGTCCCTGAAGCGTGTTCATTTTTTCAACTTTTTTTTCCTCTTGTCTTTAGATAATTTCTATTGATCAATCTTCCAGGTCACACACTCAGCCATTCATTAGGAGAGTGGACTTACATTCTACCAGGCCTGTTTTCTGTTTAAATTTGAGGCCACAGCTTAGGTGTTAAAGTACAATAGAAGTTTATTGTGCTAAGATTTAAGAGTTTAATAGAAGTTAAAAGTTTTAAGTTAAGAGTTTAATAGAAGTTAAATTTTTAAAACTATTTAAAAGTTTAATGGAAATATAAAGTACAATAGAAGTTTATAATGATAAGATTCATTAATATTAACCATGTAATAACATGATTTCAAATAACATGATTCAAAATCTATCCTCACCTTGACTCCTCTTTAAAGAAAAGGCTGAGATTTGGCAATGAGTTTTTAACTAGGAGCTAGGGATCTGGTTAGGAGATAGACACTCAAGCAGAGTATACAACATGGTGTGAGCAGGTGCAAAACTCTAGACATGAACAAAGCACCATGGGAGCACAGAGGTGCACTTTGTTGCCACTACCCCAGGGAGTCAGGGAAAGCCTTCAGAGAGTCGGTATTTTATTAGACAATTTAGATAGCAAGAAAAGCCAGGCTTTGCCAAAAAGAAAGAAGGACATTCTAGGTAGAAGGGCTCTGGGAAAGGCCTGTCATGGTTTGGGAAGAGGGAGAAAAGGGAAGGACATGATGCTCATGTCCCCCAAAAGGGCAGTGATGGTGTAGGAGGCCAGAAGAATAGCCTGTGTCAGGCTGCCCTGCACTGAAGACTAAGCAGAGAAGTATGTTCTTGTTGCATCATATGAAGGTTCTGATGGTGAGGAGTAGTGCTCCTCCTTTATCCTGTGAAGAATAAAATAAGCTCTTTGTTCTCAGAGAACTCTCAAACTGCCTTAAAAAAACCAAATCAATCTACGTGAAACAAAAAGAAGAAGAACACTCACCATCATTCCAATTCTGGCCACCATCTCTCACTTCGGCTGCAATACCCGCTGAAGGGCCTCCCTGTTATTACCTTTGCCCACCTCCAGTTCATTTCCATATTTGCAGAAAATCACCTTCTTAAGACATAAATCAGAATATGCCCATCCATGCTTAAAATCCATTCAGTGGCTTCCCACTACATGTAGGATGTTCTGTGTCCGTGCCACTGCCCAACCTCACTCATCACACTTAGTCACAACAGCCTTCTGGCTGATCCCAGTCAGGCCACACTCTTATGGGCATTAGAGCTTTGTGTTGCCTGTGGCATCTGTCACTGTTGCCACTTTCCTCCCAGCTCTGCATGGGGCTGGCTCCTTCTCTGCCTTTAGATCTAGCATAACTCTTCTCCTCAGACAAACCTTCCCATTAAAGCCCATTCTAATGCTCAATGTATTCCATTCAAAGCATTAACAATTTGTGGCCCTTTCATTTATTTGTTTACCTGATTCATGTCTACCTCCCTTACTGGGATTTAAATGACAATGGCAAGAACTTTGTCTGTCTTGTTCTTCATTAAATCCCCAATGCCTAGTATGATGCCCAGAATATAGTACTCAACAAATATATGTGAATAAATGGTTAAAACTCAATGCTAAGGTGGTGTTATATACTCTGTGTGTCACAGAGAAGGGAAATGATTGGGGGTAAAGGATCAAAGCCGGGAGAGAAAACCCTATTTGAAGCAGGTGGCCCTAGTTGCCACATGATCTTGCTATGGGTTTTGTAGCTCCTTAGGGAGAGGGAGTAGCTTTGCCTGTTAAAATGATGCTTTGGGTAGACATCCACCTCTCCTGTTTCCCAGGCACACTCTGTTATGTACAATTCAGGATTCCACACTCTCTAGAAGGCCCCTTGGATGCAAGTTCATTCTACCTTCCCCTCTTCTTGCTTCTAAGCCACGGGATCATTTTGAAGAACTTGCATGCTCCATCTACAACCCAACTCCTGGGAGAGGAAACCAATTCTGTTTCCTGGGAGTTTACTTCTTACTCTTGAAGACAAGAATAAGAGAAAAGATGTCATTCTTGAATCATTGAGTTGCTGTCTTTAAAAAACCGTTGCTATTTGTAAAACTGGAATACATTTTTTGAGCTCTCCTGTCTGAAACCCAGGCTGACAAATGTAATTAGAAAATGCACACTTACCAAGAGTTGGAAGCCTGGGAGAGTGCCTTCATCCATCCGTCCAGTGCACTGGATAGGGAGAGACATAAACAGAGCACGTGGTATTGGCGTGCACTTTTATTGAGTGAGATGTGATGTTCAGAAAGTCTACAGCACATACGTACCCGAGTGGAAATTCCTTCAGTAACGGTGCATTAAACAATCCAGCCCTCTCTTCCCACATACCCCCACCCTACCGCCCCCCACCCCCACCCGAGCCTTTGCTCTTTCTTACACATGGTTTTAGAAGAGCATCTCTCCATGGCTGGGTCAGAGTAGGGTGTCACCTTCTTGAACCCCTCAGGGAATGTTTGCAGTATATTGCTATTTTCTCTGCTGGGTGCACTTGTGGTAACACCACAGAGGCCCACTCTACCCTGCTGCCTCCTTGGTTTGCAGGGCTTATGTTAGACGCCAAGTCTTAGAATATTAAAATATGACCAACTCCTTCCTCCTTCCTTCTGCCCTCCTTTCTCTCCTCCAAGCAAGTGCTTATCTACAATCTATTGGTAAAGGGTTACTCCCTGGAATGGTGAATTTCCCTTTCTGAATGTGTTCTCCCTGCCTCGGGTTCCCTGGGTCTTTGGCATGAAGAGTACATGTCAAGGGCAGATCAAGGCAACTGGGGTCAGAGGCAGCCGTGCCCGTCCAGCGAATTTTCAAGCTGCCTGGCTTTGTGCCTGGTGGGTCTCCGAGCAGTTTAGATGACAATATGGGTAGCCCCAGAAAGCATTGGCAGTGGTCTTGCAAGGGGCAACAGAGCTCTGGAGGCCCTTCTGAAGCAGGCCAGGAAGCCCTCCTTAGGTCTCACACTGGACAGTAGTGACAGAGGCAGAACCATCACTGAGTCAATGTCACAAAGGTCTGCTACTGCACATCAGTGTAGTTACAAGACCTAAAAATGAACGTGCAGGGAAAGAGCCCCCTCTGTGCCTATCTGCCTCCCACTCCCCACCTCCCACTGTGCAAATGATCCGATGATGCTGATATGGTTTGGCTCTGTGTCCCCTCCCAAATCCCATCTTGTCACTCCCATATTTCCCATGTGTTGTGGGAGGGACCCGATGGGAGATAAATGAATCACGGGGGCGGGTCTTTCCTGTGCTGTTCTCGTGATAGTGAGTAAGTCTCACAAGATCTGATGGTTTTAAAAAGGAAGTTTCCCTACACAAGCTCTCTTCTCTTGTCTGCCACCATGTGAGGCATGACTTTCACCTTCCGCCATGATTGTGAGACCTGCCCCAGCCACATGGAACTGTAAGTTTATTAAACCTCTTAAATTGCCCAGTCTCGGATAGACTTTATCAGCAGCATGAGAACGAACTAATACAGATGCCTCTCTGAAATTTTAGAGGTTTGTATACTTGCTAGGAAAGTTAGAAAAAACAGCCAATCTTCCCTTTCCAGATTCTTCCTCTGAGTGGACTGCATGAGGAGATGTCTGTAAGAAATTGTGGGTAGATAGCTCAGACAGAAAAAAAAAATGCACTTTAAATTGACAAATCAGTCCAAACCACGAAGGTTATAACTCTTTTTTTTTTTCCTTTCCAGAAGAACAGTAAAACAGACTTGTTACTGGCAGCCCATTAGTGCTCAGGAGAGGCGGTCTCCAGCATGACATCAGCCGGCCGCTCGACCCAAATCTAGTATTTCACCAGAAAGCCTTGCGCTGCCGGCTTTCCAACTGTGTGGAAGACGTACATGGGGGAGAGGGAAGAAGGCATAAATAAGATACAGACTGGAGACTTTTTGATGTGTTTAGCACATTTTTGTGATTTCCTTTAATACGATAGGCCTTGCATAATCTCCCATTAGGAGAACAAAAGACAAGCCTGAGATGGGATGGAGAGTGGGTGGAGAGGGGGATCCATGCCATAAAAAGTTCACTTTGACTAATTAGCATTTTTAATCCAAATACTTAAAAGGGGAGGTGAATTGGGAAGAGAAGAATGAATGCCACAGCCGAGTGACTGCAGATATAAAAAGTCCCTTCATTAATTCGGTTGTTTTTTAATTCCTAATTGAACTTAAATAAAGAGGACCTAGAGGCAGCTGTTTCTAATATCGAGTCCCCACCGCACATGAAAGACGCATTTATTCCTGCAGCAGCCTCCCTACCCTTGGGTGTTATCAGCTGAACATGTTTTGAACCTACCTAATGCATTTGAGGTAGCTTGGGTTTATTTTTCTTTCAATAAAATAAATGGTTTTGTAATTAAATTTCTGCACTGCCTGTGCTTAATGGTTACATTGACAAGTGCTAATGTATGGCAAGAGAATGAGTTTGAAATGAAACATGCTGTTTTCGAATCTGCAAGCAATTTTGCAGTGGGGCAATCAAACCCCTCATGCCAGCGAAACATTTTCATTAATCTGCTCACTCCGCCCCTGCCCACTCCGGCCGGGCGAGGACACTTTTTAGCTTCCCCTTTGCCCAACCCCCACCCTTGCCTTTTTCTAAACACACACACTCACGCACACACGCGCGCGCGCACACACAAATAGCATGAAGCGAGCCGTTGTTTGAAACCATTTTGTGGTCCCTGGCTGGCGGGCCTGTGGAAATTCGCTGACTTTACACCATGAAATGTTGCAGCTGTCTCTCTTCTCCAAAAGGAAGGCCGGCCTCCATGTTTCAATCCCTGGCAGCGAGTCAATAAGAAAATCTGTCCTTCTGTTTTCCTTTTCTTTTTTTTTTTTAACTTTCCTCCCCCCTTAGCTAAATTTATTTTTGAATAAATCTTCTCATAGAAAATAGCGAACAGCTATTACATATCTGGACTCGGTCTGCGTAAACCACGTCAAGCCACAGCAAAGGAGGCGAACTTCCAGCCTTGAGCCTGTAGAAGGTTCATGAATGGAAACCTGGATGGGTGGGTTGTGGTCTTGGCTGGCTCCACTTCTGCCCACAGCCCAGGAAGGGGGCCCTGTGTCTCCTGCTCAGGCTTGCACAGGTACAGACGGGGGACACAAGACTCTTGGCTCTTTCTCTGCCCCTTCCCTGGAAGCCTGCGTTTCATCTGACTGCTAGAAGGATGGCTTCCCAGGGTGGCGGCTGGCTGGAGCCTGCGAGGCCCCCTCATCAAAGGCCAAGAAGTGGGTACGAGGCCCGGAGCTGACTGGGGCATGGGGAGATGGAGAGCAGCAGGGGAGCCTCTGGTTCCATGGCTGCCCACAAGGTGTGCGACTCAGCATTTTCTCCCTAGGCTGGGGGAGGAGAGCCAGAGGGCTGACCACATGAGTGCTGACTCACCCATGGGACGGGCCAGAATCACAGGCTGTCCTCCCCTCCGCATGGCTCCCTCTTGCTGCTTTTAGGATGGTATTTAGGGGAAGGGCTTCTGTGTGGTCCCGGCCTCCCTGAATTTATTGCAGGGCAAGATAAAGGAGAGAGACAGTTGCTTATGGCATTCAAGGAGCAGGAGGAAGGATCTCAGTCCCTCAGAATTCCCCTGCCCATTTCCGAAGTCCTGAATTGCCTTTCCTAGGAGACGATGCCTTTCATTTTATCATTCAAAAAGAAGCTTGGATGCAGAAGTCCTTGGGAAGCAGACATAGGGACTGAGATCTCCACTTAGGTGTACATGACGGGCAAGGCAAAGCCCATCATGAGAGGGAGAAAGAAAAAGAACTTGGATTAGCTGGTGTGTTAGTCTGTTCTTGCACTGCTATAAAGAAATACCTGAGACTGGGTAATTTATAAAGAAAAGAGGTTTAACTGACTCATAGTTCTGCAGGCTGAACGGAAAGCAGCAGCTTCTGCCTCTGGGGAGACCTCAGGAAGTTTCCAATCATGTCAAAAGGTGAAGGGGGAGTGAGGCTTCTACACGGTGGGAGCGGGAGCAAGACAGAGTGAGCGGGGAGGTGCTGCACGCTTTTAAACAGCCAAATCTTGTGAGAACTCACTCACTATCATGAGAACAGCACCAAGAGGATGGTGCTAAACCCTCGTGAGGAAGCCGCCCCCATGATCCAATCACCTCCCGCCAGGCCCCAGCTCCAACACTGGGGATTACATTGACATGAGATTTGGTGGGGACACAGATCCAAACCATTTCAGCTAGTATCTGAATGGTAGGAGGGGAAATCTTGGCCAGGGCAGAGGGCAAAGAAGTGGGGGAACAAGTGTTAGGGCTAACAGACAACTTCACAGCAGCCCTGTGAAGGGGGCAAAGTTCCTCTTTTAAACGGCTGAAGATTAATGAAAGTCAAGACTTAATCTTATCCAGAGTAAAGGGGCAGAGAGGTCCAGCCCCAGGAGGAAGAATGGACAGCAGTGGGGAAGGGAAGCTGGGAGGGCTGCTCTGTGGGCCTTGGCAGGGTCTTGGCTATGCTCCTGATAAAACTGAGCTATTAATATGTGAAAGTGCTGTGATCTGCCACTCAGCATACCATGAAAGTTATCATAGTTACTGTACCCATAAAACAGTGGAGTACTTCATTCATTCCTTCAGCAAATAATAATTTCACTTCTCACATTCATTCATTCATTCAGCAAATAATAAGTTGCCACTATCAAATAATAATAAGAGCCATATTGCTAGGCTCTTTCAGGATACAGGCATAAAAAAGACAAGGATGAAATAAGTCCTGTGATGGAGAGACAGGCAAAATGCTACCTGACTTCAGAGGAGGAAGAAGTGTGCTGTGCCAGGAGGAACAGGAGAAAGCTTCATGAAAGAGGTGAGCCTTACAAGCCAAATAGGATTTCAAAAGGGGAGGATAATGTTCCAAGGCAAGCAACCAGCGAAACACAAAGGAATAAAAGTAAAAATTGTATCTGGGGAATGATGAGTGGTCCCAAATTAATGGAGTAGAAAGTTAAGCACCTGCGGGGTGTGTGTATGTGTGAATGTGTTGGTGGGGGTGGGAAGTGGAATTAGGAGTTTTTAGATGGTTTGTTTTGCAAACTGGAGATAACCCTTAAAGGTTTTGGAGACTTGCGGATGGAGTGAGTGGTGATACAACCCAACCTATATATTCGTAATTGAACCTGTAAGCCATAAAAAGGACAAGCTGAGAAGGGATGATATTAGAGGCAGGTGGACCAGAGGCTATTTCAGTAACTCAGGTCAGAGAGGAGGACAGGCAAGGCAAAGGCAGTGTTCCTGGAGGGAGGGGATGGGTGCTGGGGAAACTGCAGAGGTCAGGGGCAGCCAATCAGGTGTGGTGGGAGGAAGGGAAGTGCCATCAAGTAGTCTGCTCTCTTCAGGGTGCCTGAGAAGGTGACCATGGGCAGGACAGAGACTGGGAACTCTGACAGAGAAGTGGATTTGGGGAAAGGGAAAAGAAAACACTAGTTCCAACTGGACACATGGAGTTGGAGTTGGTGGTGGTGGTGACTGTCATGAAGGACTATCCAGGGAATAGTAAACAGATAAATGGAACAAAACAGAAGGAAGGCAGAACTCTGAGGAATGCCCACATCTAGGGTAGCCAGTGCAACAGACAACACAGAATAGCAGGGTTAGTAGGAGACGGGCCATGAGGAAAAGGGAGGGAAGTTCCAAGAAGAAAGGTGGGAAGGTATTTCTGATGCTTCAAGGAGACCCAAGAAGGGGAGATCGTGAGGCAGTTGGGTTGGGCAATAAAGGAGAAGCTGAGCAGGGTGTGGGAAGTAGAGGCAGAAAGATTTCGCACCTGGCTTTAAAGAATTTTCACCATGATGACTGCATGGAAAGTTTTCTTTGGGTGATGGGCCCTTGATCAATATTTAAAGAGGAATCATAAGGAAGGAGAGATTGAAAGGCACCCAAGAGGGGACTCTGATGGAGCAGGATCACGGGAGGGGCAGGAAGGGGTGGAGCAGGTGGGCTTGCAAAGCAGCAGGAAGAAGGTACGATAGACCAGAGAACAGTTAAGGTAAACACAAGGGGAGCGAGGGGGCAGGCAGCCTCCTGGGGAAGGAAACAATGAGATCCTGTGCTGAGTGAGGGGTGGGGACAAAGGTGATGGGAAGAGAGAAGTGGCTTGGAAATTTGAGGCAGGGAGGACACGGAATAGAAAGTCAGGCGGGAATGAATAATAGGGCATTGAGAAGCTGAAGATGGAAGCCCGGCTCTGCAACAGCCTGGTCTGCACAGTCATGACATTTGCTCCAGCCTTTCTGGGCAGTCTGGAAGCAGAAATAGAAGCAAAGAAGCTAGTGGCAGGAATGCTCCAGCTATGGACAGCACTGCAGCCGCAGTGGGCAGCCAGAGACACAGGACCTTAGAGGATGATCAGAGAGAATTTTACAGCAGGAAGCCTTTTTGTTGATATGGGTGACCTTCACCTCCAAGACCGGTACAGCCTTGTCTTGGGTTAAATTTGGAGACCAAATTTGAAAAAGTTTTACATAAAAAATATATACCGGCCAGGAGCGGTGGCTCACACCTGTAATCCCAGCACTTTGGGAGGCCGAGGTGGGTGGATCACGAGGTCAGGAGATCGAGACCATCCTGGCTAACACGGTGAAACCCCGTCTCTACTAAAAATACAAAAAATTAACCAGGCATGGTGGCGGGCGCCTGTAGTCCCAGCTACTCAGGAGGCTGAGGCAGAAGAATGGCGTGAACCCAGGAGGCGGAGCTTGCAGTGAACCAAGATTGTGCCACTGCACTCCAGCCTGGGCAACAGAGCAAGACTCCGTCTCAAAAATATATATATATACACACACACATATACACATATACACACACACACACAATCTTTCCCAGAAAGAATTGTGAACCAGGAATGAGAATAAATTCCTGTTGTAGAAGTTGTTTTTCTTCTTTCCTTTGGCTTTCCTGTGCTGTGTGATCCAAGCAGATGACTTAAACTTTTTACCTATTCCTCCTATCTGCCTGCCTCTGGGACACATTCTGCTGATTTAACAACTTTCTGAAAGAAATTGCTGCCTAAACTAAGGCAATTTCACTAAGAAAGTGGTTTCATTCTATAGAATTCTGTAGTGTTTGCCCTCTCCTTACAGCAGTAAAACAAAACAAAAACAAATTCAGTTTAGTCAAAACCTCACTGGTCTTTTGACTTGTTCTTGATGTTCAATGGGGTTGCTGAAGCTAAACAGATATTAAACAAATTCTACCCAGTTTAGTTTGGGAAATTAAACGCTGTCAGCCGTGGTCAGGTCTGCACACTCCATGCGGATAGAGAATGCTGGCATTGGTTACGATTGCCTTAAGTGCTTATTCTCTGATCAAGAGGCAGCATCTTAGCCTCTGCCAGAGTGGAGAAAGGACTGTACCATGGGTACCATCCACCATGACCCACCTTACTGACAAGAGGCAGTGATGCATGGGATCTGTTCTTCCTGTACCTGCTTCGGGCATCTCCAAATTCCTCCCCAAAGCCCTAAGGAGATTTTTGAAGCCACTCTTGGTCTCCTATTAACTTAAGGCTTGGGTGCTGGCTGTTAGCAAGCCAGGGTGGGGCAAAGAAGGCCAGAGCCCGAGAAAGGCCTCCCTGGCATCAGCAGCCCCGGGGTCTGTCCAGCCTAGAATTCATGACTACTGAGACACTCAGGTGTGGCTTGGGGATGGGACTATGAGGAGCCATCTCCACAACCCCAGAAGGCAAAGCATGGACTGAACTTTCAGAGAAACAGCTATCATGGTGTAGCCAAATATTCCTGTGAGCTCTTCATATTTTTCCCTCAGGGCCACATTGAGGAAGAGTTAATTTCATGAATTGACTTCCTACTGTCTTAAGTGGATGTATCTTTCTCTCCTAGCTTCCAACAGAGCCATTTTACTTTTACCAACTCGAATTTGATGACCAACCAAAGTGAGAAAGAAGCAAATGACTACTATGAGGAATCTTTGATGCACCCTTTGCTAAATGTTCACCTTTGCTAAATTGTTTCACTGCATGCCTATTATTTAGGGAGTTTTACCTCCATTTTACAGATGGAGAGTTAGGCTGTAATATTTGCACCACCTAAGTTTGTTCTCCACGTTTCATCTGATTGCCTAGCCTATAATACCATTATATGTTGCCCTATTGCAACTTCTGTCTTTCCAAATTAAAGAATCGATACTCCATGTCAGTGTATGTGGGGAAGAGGGATAGATATCTAAACATATTGGCTGGAAACCACTACATCTTTCATCAAGTATTATTAAGACCTATACTATGCTCAGCACTGTAGGGAACAAGTGGAAAGAGGGCTCTCACCTGCAAAGACACTGCTACCTGTTTTGGGATACACAGAAAAACATGTCCACTTGCCTTCCACTTGTCTTCCTTGCAGCTGAGTCCCAGAGGCACAGGTCGTCATTTCAAGATGCAGAACAAGCATCACAAAATAATTCTAAGGATCCAGTGAGCTCCAAGGAGACTGCTGCCACAGCACCATCCCATACTGCTGAGTCCCAGAGTAGTCTTCTTCTGTGGCGAATGTGCCAGGGGCAGAAGGCACTGTTAGGTCCTCCAACCGACTGCCCCTCACTGTGCTTCCTGGATGACTCCACAGGATCCTGGAGGAAGACAGCTAAAATGAGAAGAGCAAAATGGAAGTGGTCTGGTGAAGAGAAGCAAGTTAGCTGAGTGTGCTGAGGCAGTCTTACGTAGGAGAACTCAATTTATGGAGTAGTCTCAATTTATGGAGTATCAGAATTCAGCCTCCCTGTGGCTCTGAACTCTCCTTAAAACTTCCAGGAAGGAAGCTTCACAGAGGAAGGAAGGGGAGAGGGAGGAAAGCAAGGACAATTCCCACAGTGAGTGGGTGCCTGGCCTGGGATGGTGGAGGGTGAAACTTGAAGGCTGGCTGCTGAAATGGGCAGGGAGGGCTGGGTGAGTTGGGGCTTATGTGCTCATTATGAGAAATGTCTTAATGACCGTGAGTCCTGAGGGAGGCTGGAGAGCAATGCCTGGCGCCAGCCACGCTTGTACAGGGGCTCCTGTCCAGGTGAAAAACATGTAGAGTGAGTGAGAAGACAGACGGGACTGCGTGGCTGCTGAAGGTGACTGATGGCCTTGGAATGCAACTCTGACTCCTGTGGGATTGGGTTTTACTGGAATGAGACACAAAGATTAGTGACTTTCAGCTGAGAAGGAATCTTAGTTCTTGGTTTCCAGAACTGAGTTTCTTCATGGTTCTTTGGGAGTTTCATTTGTGTTCTCCACCTCTAGACCTCTGCTCAAGACATTTATTCCTTCTTCCCCTGAGTCCATATCCTACTAGGCCAGCCCAGGCCTCACCATTTCCATGAAGTCATCCTTGATGGTCTAACTTGAAGCCTCTCTCCTCAAACCTACTGACCTGCCGCGGGCAGAGGTGATGTTAGGGTGAGATTCTCCAACAGGGATATGTGTTTAAGGGGAACATTTGTCTTCACAGAACCTTGAAGTTACTCAAAAATTCTGGGAGAACAAACCAATAAGATTTAATATATCAAAAGATTTTATGGAGTGAAATGCAAAGTTAACAAGCATATTTAAATTAAAGCTGAGACTTCAAAACAATTTCCTGAGACTGGAGGGCCACTTTGAGCCCTACTCAACTGGGCACCTGCTTGCTGTCGTCTCCATGAGAGAACTTTAGCAGAAGAGTTTGAGGAGTAGGCAATGTGATGTCAGGAGGCATAGGAGGGCCTCCTCTTCCTGGAGGCTGGGCAACGGGAAGTTGAAGCCTTGCTAATTGAGAGCAAAAGGAAATTGTTTTATTAAATTGCAGTTAAAAATAACAGCAAATACTATTTATCACATACCTCCTATATGCCAGGTACTGTACTAGTTGCATTAGACGTTTTATTTCAATCAATGCTCATAAGTCAATGAGGTAAATATCACTCCCCACTCTACAGCTGATGAAATCAAGCCACGGTGAGGCAATGTAATGTCCCAAGTCAAATAGCTAGTAAGATCAAGGTCCAGGATATGATCCTGAGTCTAATGGACTCTTAGCTTCTCTGCCATGCTGCTGTGGGTATATCAAGGAAGAAACCTGAAGTTTATGTCTCCACAATGCATCACAGGCATTCCCTAAAGTTTCGTGATTTTTATGTTGGCCCCAAATGTTGACCTCTTCTGTTGCACGTCCAGACTCTAGGTCATATGGAGAGCTCGGTTTGCCCTAGCGGTTCCTCCCCATGCAGGGGATCCTGGACCAGGTGTGTGGAAACCTCACCCCCCTAGCAACATCTGGAAGGTCTTGCTCAGCCCCCAGTTGACTTATCTACCAGAAAAAGAGTGGCTGATCTGGTCTATCCTTGGATAAGTTTGGGAAATCACCAAGTCAGATTTCAACATCAATAAGCGGCCAGGTGTGGTAGCTCACGCCTATAATCCCAACACATTGGGAGGCCGAGGCGGGAGGATCGCTTGAGTCCAGGAGGTGGAGGTTACAGTAAGCTGATATCATGCCACCGTACCCTAGCCTGGGCAAGACTCTATCAAATAAATAAATAAATAAATAAATAAAGTCCATATACAAGAGATGAGGATCAGATTTGTGGGCAGCCAGGGGGATGGCTGGTTGTGACTCTTTTCTGCATAAGGACGTAAGGAAAACTCAGGGTGAGAAATCAAGGCTGGAGTCCTTTACTGGGACAGTTTATCTGCAAGAACTTTTCCATTTGGTAAGCATCCTGGTTGGTATTTTTCACTGTGGTTGCAGTGAGGAACCCTGGTTATTTTTAATAACATATACACATTCATAGCATTCATTCAGTCCTATAGCATTTTATGATGTGTCTGACTCAGAAAAATGTGTGGCCAGTTTAGGGGGATGGGGACGGTGTGTATTCATTCTCTGCCCTCTTTTAGCCTTCCCTTTCCTTGGCACTTTCCTGTAGGAAGAGTGGGTTTTGACATCCCAAGCACACTTTTCCACTGTCTCTTGGATATGCCCCATCTCCCAAAAGGCTCACGTAACTTTACACTGCACAAATTCATGTTTCAGGGACTTGCCAAATCTTGTCAAGTCCTAAAGTTTTTCTTGGCAGCGACTGCACCACTCCACGGAAATGGATCGGGTGAATCCATCGGGACTTGGTGCCACTTCTCCGGGTGCCATGTGCAACTGCTGAGTCTTTCCTGACTCCCTTCCCAGGCTCCGTGAGTACTGGCATACCCTGTGTCCTGGCTCTTCCAAGCCCACTGATTTCCGAGAGCATCAGCAGACTTCAGCACCTCCCAGGCCAGGGCTTGCAGGAACATCAGTTAAGGAATTGCTTTATCTTTGTCACCTCTGCCCACTCACCCACCACCCCTTGCCTTCACTGCCCCAACCATCTCTTCTAGTGGCTCCAATCTTTCAAATTAGAGAGGAAAGTCATTCATCCACTCAACTAGTATTTATACAGAGTATTTATGCAACTCAGTTCCTTGTCTTAGGCACTTAATAGTGAACTTAACAGTGAACCAAACAGACAAAGGCCCTGCCCTCATGGCACTTACATTCTAACACATCTAATAATAAAGTTCTAAAATGAAGTTAGGGTGATGTATTTGCAGCTACTGTTCACTTTTCACTTTCACATGTATGATTGCACTTGTTTCTTTTAATAGCCTTTGAAGTAGGCAAGACATTTCACAGAGGAGAGAACTGAGGTTTCTTTCTTTCTTTTGTTCTTTTTTCTTTTTCTTTTTTTTTTTGAGACAAAGTCTTGCTCTGTCGCCCAGGCTGGAGTGCAGTGGTGTGATCTTGGCTCATTGCAACCTCTGCCTCCTGGGTTCAAGCAATGCTCCCCGCTCAGCCTCCTAAGTAGCTGGGAATACAAGTGCATGCCACCATGCCTGGCTTATTGATTTTGGTATTTTTCTTAGTAGAGACGGGGTTTCACCATGTTGGCCAGGTTGGTCTCGAACTCCTGATCTTGTGATCCACCTACCTCAGCCTCCCAAAGTGCTGGGATTACAGGCGTTAGCCACTGCACCCAGCCGAGAACTGAGGCTTCTTTCTAATCATCCTCCTCCGAGGATGCCTGCTTCTTAAAAAGAAGAGTCTGGAGAAGTACAGTGAAACCCAAAAGGAATGAGCACCAGCCAGGAGCAGTGGAGTGTGCCTGTAGTCCCAGCTACTCAGGAGACTGAGGCAGGAGAATTGCTTGAGCCAAGGTGTTCAAGGCTACAGTGAGCTATGATTGTGCCACTGCACTCCAGCCAGGGCAACAGAGGGTAATACAGCAAGATCTGTCTGACAAAAGAGAAGAGAAGAGAAGAGAAGAAAGGAATGGAGTAGATGGTGAAACTGATGGTGGAAGTTGGAAATCCAGGTCTCTGTGGAGACAATATTTGGGACTGAGAGACCTCTTTGGTCTTTCAAACCTGTGAGCCAAACCTTGCCCAACACCTGTTTTGTATAATCCACAAGTCAAGAATGGTGTTTATATTTTTAAATACTTGAAAAAATCAGTAGAATAACATTTTGTGACATGTGAAAATTATATGAAATGCACATTTCAGTGTCCATAAAGTTTTACTGGAACGCAGCCATCCCCATCATTTATACATTGTCTATGGTGGCTTTCACGCCTCAGTGGCGGAGTTAAGTAGTTGTAACAGAAATTGCATGTGGCCTAAAAAACCTAAAACATTTACTATCTGGACCTTTATAGAAAGTTTACTGACACCAGTTCTAGAATCATGTGGTAGAGACAGCTATTTATATTCCATGTGCATAAAACTGGCCCTGTCAGGCAGGGAGGAATCCCGCTGTCTCATTATGCCTGTGGAAGAGAATCATAAAGTGGACTGAATGTTGCAGGCTGAGAACTAGTCACTGACATCTGTTTTCTCTTCAGCACACAGAGGCAGCCCTTCTGGGAAGTGTTCTGACAAATTAAGATTCCTTCCCAGCAGAATTGTCAATGTTATTTGCCAAGTTCAGGAGCAAACCTTCACCTTCGGAGGTTCTGGGCTCCTAGATGGGGGTCTCTGCAAATTTAAATAATAATATTTATACCTATGGAAAGAACATAGGACTAACAGAAGACGTGAGTTCAAGTCCCCCCTCTGCCACTTAATAAGTGGTATGGTATTGAGTAAATCCCTTAACCTTAGTAAGAAGCCTCAGTTCTCTCCTCTGTGAAATGGCCCACCTTGCCTACTTCAAAAGCTACTAAGAGAAACAAGTGCGACCATATGCGTGAAGGTGTTTGTAAAGTGAACAGCAGCTGCAAATACATCATTCTCTCCTTTCCTATGAGTGGGTAGTAATACTGTTGAATTCTCTTCATTCATTCTTCTTTGTCTATGGAGACCCAGTCAGAGGGTCAAGGTGAGGGATGCCTACAACAACATTCTCCTTCCCTTCAGTCTGGGTTTCCACCTGCCCTGAACCCCACCTCCCACCCCCTCACCCCAGATTCCACCTACTCCCTGAAATCAGCTTTAGGGATTCTCGACCACATGGTGGGCAACAGACCTCACGCAACCAAATGAGAACAGCCCTGCAGTCTTCCACCACGGCCACATCTCTTAGTTTGCAGGATGCCACAGCTGCCTTCCTTCAAACAGCCGCAAGCACCCTACAACGTATGATGCAACTACCAGCCACAGCCTCCTTGGCCTATTTGGTTATTTCTCCCTGCCAATCTGTATAACCCTCTCAAAGTGCAGTTAGTTTCTATCCCACTGTGTACCCCTGATGATTCTAAACTTAACTGCCACCTTCTTTTCGTAGTTTAGGGTTGGGGAATGTGAAATGTGCAGATAGGAGTGATTTCTAAGTCAAAATCCTAGCCGGGCATGGTGACTCACACCTGTAATCCCAGCACTTTGGGAGGCCAAGGCAGGTGGATCATTTGAGGTCAGGAGTTCAAGACCAGCCTGTCCAACATGGCAAAACCCTGTCTCTAGTAAAAATACAAAACTTAGCTGGGCGTGGTGGCATATGCCTGTAGTCCCAGCTACCTGGGAGGCTGATGCATGAGAATTGCTTGAACCTGGAAGGTGGAGACTGTAGTGAGCCAAGATCGCACCACTGCACTCCAGCCTGGGCAATAGAGCAAGACTCCATCTCAAAAAAATAAATTAATAAATAAAATTTAAAAATAAAAGTTAAAATCTTCCTCCCTCACTGGACCATGAGCACTGTCGGGGCACAGACTCTTTCTGTTCTGCTGCTTTCTGTTGTGTCACCAACAGCCCATTTGGCATGTACTGAGCACATGGTGGAGGCTCACAAAATAATTCTCTGAGCCTCATACCATGAATGAATGAATGGTATCTTGGGATTTAATAACAATACCTTGGTCATCCTATGGATACCCTGTATGAGTTTATATACAACCCTTCTGTGATAAACACAGCATTCTACACACAGTAAGTGCCTAATACATGTCAGTGGATGATGACAACAATGAATACGAGGTTGAAAAGTCAGTCTCCCAAATCTCAAAGTCAAATGAACAGAACAAGACATGTGAATGGGGTCTAAGTTTACTAGAAACCTAAAAACAAACAAATAAAAAAACTTTATATCGCAAGAGGGCTAGTATCTTGTACATCACATTTTGTTCAAGGACTGAGTTGCCATAACTTGGAACTTTGACATGTGCCTTGGGGAGTCTGGGTGCATCATTGGTTGCATCTCCTGAGAAAATTCTCAAACCAGGAAAAAATATCCTCACAGTGAGCCACAAAGGTTGGTATTTATAGCTGCCATCCTCAGTGTTTAGGAGAAGTAAGTT